ATATATATATATAGATATAGAGAGAGAGAGAGAGAGAGAGAGAGAGAGAGAGAGACACAGAGAGAGAGAGAGAGAGAGAGAGAGAGAGAGACTTGGTGTCCGTGAAACAGTGCTTGATACAAATAGTAGAGCGGATATAAAAACTTGTATGGCGCGAGAATCATAGGGAGATGCTCTTTCGCGCTTTACAACTTACAATCTGTCCGTTTGTCCGCATCAGTTGTCCAAGATCTACTGGTAAATATTTCCTTTTTATAGTTTTTCATTTTATTAAACAGTTAATTGTTATCTACCGTAATAGTACTCCGTTTAAAATACTTTGTGCATTTACCACGAACTTGGAATCTGCATAATGACTATGAGAATGATCTTCGCAGTTACGAACACTACTTAAGTACTGCTTAACACTACTGCTTAAGTAATGTTCGTTACTGCGAAGATCATTATCATACTTGTTCTTTAACCGCAATTCAAATATATGACTTTCATATATTCACAAAAGTTGAATCTGCCTAATGTTAGTTTAAATAGTTTCGTGTACGTCTTTTGTGTTTATTGGTCTCTTAAGCTGATTTATTCCTTTTTGTATATCACTCTTGTACTCTATGTATATTTAGGAATCAGGTTATATAGGAAAACCGTAAGTCTTCACTGGTAAAACGTTGTCTTTACTCAACAGTTATTATGAAGCCTTGTTTATTCAACAATGTGTTCTGAAACCATTATACATTATAGATTGACAAGAACGGATGTGGAGAGACCAAAGGGTGTTACTCCTTACCATCAGGCTGCATCGGAAGTGCAGATTGTTCCTATCTTTTCACTTTCAGTGTTTCTGATGGAAATGTCGTTATAGAAATGAGTGCCAAAGTGGGCTGGGTGGCTGTTGCTTTTAATGAAAAAAAGCTCATGGTGAGAGGAGCCACCACCGAATTTTCAACTTCAGCTCATTTGTGTGCTATCGTGATCCTTCATACTAAGACAGTTTCTCAAGCGACAAATTTTGTTTTTGGCGTTTTCTTTCTTTAGGATAAGATGGATTCCATAATGTGCGCTACCATGGCAACCAATTTAGGGGAATTGCGTCATTTCTATTCTATTGGTCACAGCCTTGTCCGACAAGACCTGGTGAGGAATATCTGGCTATTTCTTCTTAACGTGACGATATCATCCCATAATAAGTAGAACGTATTTGGTGTTAAGATCACTAATAAGACAATTTCTCTTGCAGACTGGCAACTCGGACATCACCTTGGACAAGATAGTTTATGAGGATGGCGGGATAAAGTGCAGGTTTGTATAAGGGAGATGCGGGCAAGTCCTGGCATCAAATGGAGCTATTTTCATAGCCTTGTTTTGCTTGACTTCGCTCTGTGATTGGTTTAGAAAGCTCTCGCCACCCTGTCAACCAATCAGATGCAAAACTAAAACCAATCCCAACTTGGTCACCCGCGCTTTCCCGCGGTTCAAGCAGGTTGCCGCGCTTGTTTTCCCGCGCTTCAAGCAGGTTGCCTGTTTTTACTTTGAGTTGTCATTGGTTAATGATCCTGTTAACCTTTGTTCTGATTTGCAATTGTAATTACTTTGGTTCTGAGTTTTCGACATTCAGTTGAAAAGTTCTGTATTAGTGGGAGTGGCGGTTCAGTAAGAGGGCTTTAAGACGCGAATACGGAGCTATTTATAATACCTTTATTCTGGCACATCTAGAACCTATCTAGCCCCTCTCAGTGTCTTCCGGCGGATAACAGTTATCTCATTTACGGTTCCTATCAATTATTCATTCCATCAAACCGACGCCACACATTTCTAAGGTTTAGTTTAGTTTTGTACTTTTTTCCTTCAATGAAGGGAAGTTTCTGTTCAAGGAACATCTTTTGCAATCCTGAGCGTGTTCTGAGCGTGTCCTGCGGAACATTTTTGGCTGCCATCACGAAAACTTGTCGGAAATAGCCTTTGTGTCTGTGTCAAAAAAAAAATTGTGTGCTAAGGGAATGGACTCTCGAGGAATTTTTAAGTAACTTTTGCTTTCTTCCCCTTCAAGTTATCAGATTCTTTTCTGTCTCTTTACCTTCAGGGTGACTCGAAAACTTACCTCGAATGCAGTCCCCTTTAGAGATCTTACAAAAAAATGGTATCTCCTCTTCACCTGGAGTAAAACAAGTGCGTAGCTTTACTCTCACTATTAGCTTCTCTAGTTAACATCTTAGCAGCCTGGTCCAGGAACTAAACTTGTTGTAACGATTGGGAAAGAAGGGTTATGGAGCAGAAGGGGAGAGGAGTATTATTTTCATCTTTTTGCGAACGGTATACCATTTAAACCACCGTATGTATGAGGATCAAAGTCAATTATTGAGCAAATGCGCACCTACCCCCCTAACTTAACAACAGTCAACTGATGACAAATGAGGGTTAATGTTGGTTGAAGGGAGGGGTTGGTGTGCAGTTGCTTAGGTCCTAACATTGATCCCTGTATGATCAGGTTCGTCTGGCGTTGCACAGTATCACTATAGCCAGAAATCGGTCACAGCTGACATGGTGGATCTTGGTGTCAATGCAGTTCTTAAAGATGAAAAAAGTCAGGCTGAAGCTACGGTAAGATGTTCAATCATTTAGTTCATGTTAAACCCGTTAAACCTTACAACAACAACAACAACTTTATTTAATATTTGACAAAAGAAAAATACAAAAATGGTGGCTTCCCGCAAATAGCATTGGCTAGTCGAGGCGGGAAGCGACAGGAGAGAATAGGTTTACATTACAGCCTGTCAAATTTGGACAAGGTATGAAGAAAATAATTGAAAAGTAGCCCTTAGAGTATTAACATAACAAGTGGAAAAGTAATAGAGGTATAATACATCGCTTGTAGAATACATGAGATGACATTACAGAGTAAAACAACTGTGGTGTTATTCAGAGAATTCCATAGATTTGGCCCTAATCTAAAGTTAAGTGTGATCAACATCTAATTTCTCCTCTCTTTAATCCTTGTCCTTTTTGTTGGAATAAAGAGGGAAATAGCGGGGCCGTAAGTAACTGATCCAACCCAACTTACCAAGTCAACCACAAGCGTCGTTAATGAGTGCTTTACTATCATGTTCTTGTTACTAAAGATAACCAAAGATGGATGCGGGAAGACAAAAAGCTGCTATTCCGAGCCTGCAGACTGTAAGTCCAGCAAAGACTGTGATTATCTTGTGACCATAAAGCCCGTGGGGGACAAGGGCGAGTCAGGCCAAGTGGAATTTGAGCTTAGCGCCAAGAAAAAATGGGTGGCCATTGGTTTTAACAATGAAAAAAACAAGATGGTAAGAGCACATAATTGTAGTAAGCGAAATGTTACGCTCGTGTGTTAAGGTTACAGTCTTGTTAGATTCAGATGTCACAGTATGACGTCATAGTGTGTAGGCACAATTTCATTTGCTAAGTATCCAGGGATCTTCGACTTTGGCTACACAGTGCCTTATGATTGGCAAAAAAACTCAACCAATAAGGAGCAAGTATGACACTAGGCGTGACTTGTTTAAAAGTAATGTGCATTTCAGGCCGCAAACTAACCAGGCCCTATAAAGGTACCCGTTTCATTTCTACCTTACTTCTTATTCGCTTTGGTAATCTCTTTAACCCTTAACTCGCATGGGTCGCTTAGACTGAATTCCTCCGCACCATAGCAACACAGTAAAGTGTTGAGAATAAAGAAAGATATCAATTCTTAGTTGATCCAATACCAAATTCTCGGAACTAACATCATAAGAATTGTATGTTGGAGAACTACTGACGAGAGCTTAGCAGTTAAAGGGTTAACTAGTCCTTACCTTTGCGACGATCACTGCGACACAACACTCTTTCACACAACAAGAGAGGAACATTTGTGTTCTCCTGGTAACAATAAGCAAATCGTGGATTTCATTGCATGTTATTTGCTTCTTTTCAGGATGGCACCGACGCCTTAATTTGCGCTGTAGTCAATGACAAAGTCACTGTGGAACACTATTTGGCTGACAAAGGGTACGGTAGACCTACTAAGACCACCCCTGTAAGTATCTCGCATTATCGATTTGTTTGTTGGTATTTTTACCTCTATCAGTCTAGACATAACTTGTATGAATCAAAACATGAAATTGTGAGTACAGAATTGAGTAAAACGCACCGATGAACTGAATTATAGCGAGTTTCGATTACGTGTGTGATGATTGTCGTACTTTTGGATTCCAGACTCCCACTTCTATAGTTGCAACTTTAGCTGAATCAAAAGGTGGAGTTGTTGCCTGTCGGTAAGTCCTATTCCATTCCATCTGCTAGTCTATAAACAAGTACATCAACCCCCACCCTTCTCCCCATCCCGCCTACATCAACCCCCACCCCCCTCCCCACCCGGCCTACTACAATTCGTCAAGTTTCCCAAGCGTTCATGGATCTTTAGCAAATAAAGACACTGAGGACGGACAGTAAAGTTTAAAAACACAACACGATGAACCAGTCATGGTTCAAATCAGAAACGTTTGATCCTAAGCCATTGGAGTCTCTTCCCTATACCGAGACCTGGAAACCTCGGATCCAGAGCGTAAGGGGTGGGGTAGGGTTATGTGTCGCTTGCGCTCAATTCCTTTAACTTTTTAATGGTATGGAAATGCCAGAGGAAGAAATACTGTAAGAAACGAGGTAAAAGTTCTTGCCTTTCTTGAAGTAAATGATGACACGTTTATCATGATTTGCCATAGTTTTAGGAGGAAGAAGAAAGACGACAAGATGGTGGATCTTACTAAGACATGGTATCTTGTGTATGCATGCGGCCCCATGAGTAAGTGATTTGTTTTTTGAAAAGTAAATATGTATTCAGTCAGTTTTATAGTGTGAAGGTTTTTTGGATCAATGTCAGTTCCTTGTAACTGTGCACCTACGCCCCTCCCCCCAAACCCAACCCAACATAAACCCTAACTTTACTTTTTGGCAGCTGACTGCTGTTGGTTTAGGGGAGGGGTAGGAGCACCGTTTCTCAGATTTTGACATTGATCTGTTTTTTAATAAACAGGTGGAGACGAAATAGACATGCACTCCACTACTCCAAAAACAAGCCCTCAGAAAATGGACGTCAGTGAAATTGGAGAGCTTGGCGCAGAAGGGGAAAGCTTTGCATTGGTACAGGCTCATGGTAAGAGAGATGAAATTGTGGTTAAAACAGCGTTTCTCCAAAGAATTCAATTTGGAAAAAATTCACAATAATTCAATTGATAAACTATATCTTTAACCTGAGAACTTCGAACAATTGACGGTAGATTTCATTGAGTTATCATTACGCGCATTGCGTCAATTATTTACAAAACATATTTGGAAAATTCTTATACAGGAAAACAAAAATCCGATATGTTTAGTTTTTATAGTTTTGAGAATCAGCGGCTAGATCGCAAACTTCAACTTTATCAGACAATTTGGACGCTAGTGCGATTCAAGAAATTACAGTCCCGACTTGGCATATATAGATTGTGCTCGGCAACTTTTGAGCAACTTTAAGCGTTTTCAGCAACTTTTTGTACTGCGAGCACCGGTCAGCAAACTTGAGCAACTTTTGCCTTCCTTGGCAACGTTTGCGTCAACTTATAGTTAAAAACTGACCAAACCATCAAAAGGTCTTTATCAAAAGGTTTTTTTATTAAAACTGGTCAAAACTAAGGATGTCGTACGTTCTTACAAATAATTTACAAACTAACACGTGCGCCCACGAACTGGAAAGCAGCTAGCTATCTAACGGGCGCTTACATTCAGCGGTTATTCGCACCAACAATATAGCTTTCCGCCCGCTATCTTGGTATTTGTTTCAGTGCTAGGCATCACAGTTAGGAGCTGAAATGTCTGACGAGGGAATTGAAAATAATACAGATATTGACCCTATTGAGGCTACCATAGCCGCTGAGGCAACTCTTAGTAGTCCTGCAAGAGCTTCAATTTCTAGAAAAAGTGTATAGTTAGCACTATGTCTATAGCAAACATTGTGATGTTTACTCGTTAGAAATTAAACGTCATTAGAAAATACTTTCTATTATTAGTTACGTTGAGCTTAAAGATTATATTGATCACAACAAATGATGTTAAATTACACATACAACGTCATGTTTTAAGGAATAATAATAATAATAATAATAATAAATAGTAATCGAGAACAAAATGACTCTCAAATGTAAGTAACTTTTCTAAATTTGGGTGGTAACTTTAAATTTGTGAGCAACTTTAGAGCAAGTTTTGCGTGTATTATCAAGCAACTTTTGTTGGATTAACTAGCACAATCTATTCATGCCCAGTCCTGACCCTCTATTTCTCATAGGTTGTTTAATGGTTATTGCGTGGATCGGTTTTGCGTCCATTGGAATGTTCATTGCTCGTCACATGAAGGTGTTGTTTGGCCAGAAGGTTCTGCTTGGCACAAAAATGTGGTTTACGGTAAGATCGTTATTCTTTCAAAACATTCGTTGGATCACCGTACGTCACTTTTTATCCTAAGCATCGTGTAGATTTGTTTTTTTTTTTTTTGTAATATAACTATTCACTTATGATAAGGAGATAAACCTACAGAAACTCTTTAAAGGTTTACTTGAAGAGTGTTTTTTATTTAATCAAAGTCAGTATCTGAGTTCACTGCGCACCCACTCCTCCCCTAGCTAATCCAACATTAACCCTAGCTTTATCAGTGTCAATTGACTATTGTGGAGTTAGGGGAGGGAAGGGTAGGTTGCTCCGACACTGACATTGATCCATATTTTGATCGTTATGTGTCAGTTTCACCGATTGTTGATGGTTCTGACAGTCTTGTTTACAATCCTTGGAATTATCTTCATCTTTGTTCATGCTGGTCGCTGGACTAAGGTAGGACCAAATCTTCGTCTCCTTCATCTTCTCCGTTCCGGTTAGCAGGGGACGTTAAAAATCCCACGCACTTCTTGCAAATAGCAAGGAACCTAGTTACTAGTCTTGTGCTTTAGTTCTGTTTAAACTGCAAAATGACCTTTTAGAAATATTGTTAACTGCCTTATGCGGTCTAGCCACAGTCCTCAAAAACCTGTTGTAAAGCGCATAAGAGCATGCTCAAATGAAGATTGTACGATATGAATGAATCATTATCATTAACATTATTTTCTTAATCTGCGTCATGCCTCAGCCAATCACAACACGCACAAATAGAAGAGTTAACCGGTGATGACGCCAAGTTACAACATATGCCCGGCGCAGAGCGCAAGTCAAGAGTTTTCTAGAGGTAGATTGGTGACTGAAAAGAGGCTAGGCTTGTGCAGAGCCTATTGATTGGCTAAATAGGTGGCTAGTTCCCAGCCCTCTTTTTTCTTTTACTCACAGGAAGCTGGTGCTCATCCAATCACTGGTATACTTGTACTGGTACTCGCTGTTATTCAACCAATTATGGCAGCATTCAGACCCCACCCCGGAGAGGAAAAGTATGCTAGGAGAATATTTTTCTTCTTTCTTTTCTCTGAAGTATCCTTAGGAGTATTGTTCCTTATTGTTGGTGTTCCTCTTCTTTAGACGCTACATCTTCAACTGGGCCCACCGTGGTGTCGGGCTGTCCGCACTGATCCTGGCTGGTAAGGAGTCTTTTGAAATTTCATCTCACATTACTATCACTTTAGAATGATCGCTGGCTCAGCCCTTTAGTTTCTTGAACTTATTTCTGCTTATATTAACAATGCACTGTACACCAAACAGGTGATGGCACTGACTATGGCATCAGATCCTCATGATCCATTTCTGGTC